TGGGCAATCAAATGGCAACTATCAAGCAAAAATCTACAATACAACAACGCGATATGACTAAAACTTTATTTAAATAAATAATAAATAATAAATAAACAAAATCAAAATTAAGAAAGACAAAGTAAACCTTATTTTTTTAATCAAAAGGGAGAATTTCATTCAACTAGGAAAACGTATAGGAGGGCAAAAACAAGGGCCTCGTTAAAACTTTTGCCATAAAAAAATCCCCACAAGGATGAAAATTTGGACAAGGAAAAAGAGTACCACAACACCTCCACAAAAAATACACAAAAAACACCATACCCCACATCCCTATCTTTCCCTAGAAGAGAGTCCAACCAAGGTGGTGCCGTCCAAACAAAACTGGAGCCTTCCTTCAAGCCAAATTGATTAAGAGCATGCGCCACACTGTTGCCCTTTCGAGGCTGACATAGAACATCCGTCACATACATGTCGACCACCAACCGTCTAATATCTTCCACCACACTGCCAATGTTGCTCCACCAATCCATTCTGCCATTAAGCATTGAAACAGCTTCTTGGGAGGCAGTTGCAAATAAAAAACGATTAAAACCCAAAAAGCCTATCATCAATAAACCTTCCCATATGGCCACTATCTCCCTCCCCAAAACATCCAACCCCTGCGGCCCTGCAGCAGCAAAACCACAAAAGAAAATTCCTTTCATCAACTTACAGAGACAAGTAACACTTTTGAACTAATTATACAAGGTTGCTTTTTTATGCTTTGTTTAATATTGAAAGAGTCATATATCTACAATGTTCTCATTTCGAAACAAAAGTATCAATCAGCAACATCTATACGGAGCATTGCTTTTTATTCTCAGACGAAAACACAGGAATTTAATTAACATGATATCCATACAATACAAAATCAGAGGATTCTGCCCAAGAAATACAATACAAAATCGGAGTGTTGCTTTCTATGTGTTCTCCCACATAGAAATTCATAAATCCCCTATAAAGATTAAATAAAAAAGCACACCACAACACCAAGAGGAATGACTTACCATAATGATAATAGCTTGTTGATGACAATGAAATAGAAGTTTCTTACTGAAAAGATGCTTGGACATAAGAGCTTCCCGATGTGCTCTCTTTGCGAGGCCGCTTTACCTGAGGCGGTCCAATGTACTTATGCGGGACATGGGCTATTTTCAACCAATCCTCATGGCTACCTTGTATGCATCTTTCCTGAAGCTCAGGACATTCTTGAATAGAGAGGTGCTGGAGTTTAGTGAGAAGATTGAAACCCAGTGGCAGTAGTGTCAAATTAGGACAATCATATATGGTCAAAGATTTAAGAGAATGAAGATCCTTAAACCATTCTGGCAAAGCTGTTAGATTGGGGCAGCTACTAATTTCCAAGCAGTGCAGGGTCCTGACTTTTTGCAATCCTTCTGGCAGAGAATCAAACCAAGGACAGCTCAGAATGATCAAACTTCGAAGGGAGGAGAGGTGTTGCACACCTGCTGGAAAAGAACCAAGATTTGGACAGTACATGATGGTCAGGTGCTCAAGCAATGTGAGCAGTTCCAAACTCGAGGACAGAGAAGTCAGGTTACTGCAGTTTTCAATGGACAAGGTTCGAAGCGAGCCCAAACCTCCAATTCCACAATCTGGCAGGGATATTAGACAGTTACAGTTACTAATCTCCAGTGACTCCAGAGCTGTGAGATTCTGTAAACTTTGTGGCAGAGAGGACAGCTCTTCACACCAACGAATGGTCAAAGATTTCAGAGAACTAAGGTTTTGCATCTCCAAAGGCATTGAATGAAGCTTGGGGCAAGACAAAATCTTAATGGAAGACAGACTAGCTGATGCGAAGAGCCCTTCCGGGAGAGACACTAGGTCTGGAATTTTGTCAAGAATAAGAACAGATAGCAAACGTAAATCTGCTATGAGCACCATCGTAGGATTACAATCCTGCAGCTCCAAATGTTGAAGGGACTGAGGTAACGGTATATGTCCTAACTTGGGGCAACTCTTTACAGCTAATTTCTTCAATCTATGGAATGCATTTCCATCATTTGTACTTGACCACTCTTTCAAGTTTGAAAAATCACTTATTGATAGTTCTTCGAGTGATGGAAACCATATGTCTATACCGTCACCATAGAACTCTCTACCAATTTTCTTCACCCCATCCATTCCATGCAGAGAGAGTGTCTTAAGTAGCAGAAGATTCCCAAGGGCTGGAAGATATTTACAACTTCTACAATTGGTGAAATCAGCAGCGACAAGATTTGGGAGAGCCCAATCAGGAAATTTGGTTCCTGGGTACCCATTTATAACTAGATTTTTTAGATTTTCATGTGGTTGCAGGCCTTCAATAAGTTTTTCAGCTTGCAGCGCTGTATGTGATCCTGAGACACCTACTTCAGCTGGGGCTTTAGGTGGTTTGGCGAACGAATCTTTAAATTGCAGAACAAGACCCCAGTATAATCCCAATGACTCAAGATTTTTCTTCTTATTCAAAAGTTCACCATGTGTATTCACCAAGTGAGTAATATTTGCCAAGCGAGTAATATTCCCCAAGAGAGTAATATTCAACTCCCCATAAAGATCTAAACCCAACAGCAGATGGAGATTCCCCAAAGAATTCTGTAGACGATGTAGACCCCCTATATGTGATCGCTTCGACGCGACATAAAGTGGCAATGTCTGAAGTTGACATAAGCTTCCAATACCATAAGGCATATATGTCAAACTTACACATCCACTTAAGTTAAGATGTCTTAAGCTGGTAAAGCTTCCAAAAAATGGCAAAGATTTAAGATTATGACAACAAATTAGGTTTAAGGTCTGCAAAAAAAAGAGATAAGTTATGTTTACAGGTAACTTGGAGATGCGCGTGTAAGACAAGTCAAGATACCTCAAACATTTCAAGCCACCCAAGCGTTCTGGCAGATCAACAACATCACAGTTGTTGAGATCTAGCACACGCAAGTATTGAAAACTTGAATAAATTTTATCTCCGTTCTCTAACCTGCCAGAATCGCCGATCAATAAGAGATTTCGCAAATGTTTTGCTTCATATAGAGTTTCTGGAATTGTAATTGCACCATATCTATAAACAACAGATGCGTGGCGAATCTCTGCTGGTGACCAATTTTTTGGCGAACCCTGTTCAAGTACCACATATTCTTTTCCTGCAACATATCGTGCAAGATCATAAATGATATCATTCATCTTGTATCCAATTGTTTCTCCACCTTCATGTAGCCGTACTTCTTGCAAGAAAGATATCCACAACAATTCGGAAAAGTATTCGTCACCAATGTCTTCAGGTCGCTTGCTTCCCTCTTCTGGAATGAAGCCTTCTGCCATCCATAGATGAATTAACTTCTGCTTCTTGAACTCATAATTTTTGGGAAATAATGAGCAGAATGCAAAGCATTGTCTAAGATGTGATGGTAAACTCAACATCAGGGCAGGGAAAAATTTATGATGGCTTTCATCTAATTCCCAAAGTTCACAATCTCGCATAAATAACCACTGTCTTTCTTCTCTTTTCGGCCGCATTGAGCTTCCCAAACTTTTCGCAGCTAATGGCATACCTCCAACTTTTTTGATAATTTCCTTTCCAATCCGTGTAAGATTTGGATACTTCACTTCTTCTTCTTCTCGTCCAAATGCCCCGTGCTTGAACAAAGACCAGCAATCATCATCCGTCAAACCGTTCAAAACAAACTGTGGTGAATGTGGGAAGTTTATCATTAATGGAATTTTTTGACTGCGGGTAGTGACGATTATTTTGCATCCATTAAGACCCGCAGTAAACAAAGGTCTTAGTTTGTCCCAATCATCCTGGTCTTCTGTCCAAACATCATCCAACACGATCAGATATCTTTTCTTCTGCAGCAATTTCGAAAGCCGAGACTGAAGCAGTTCCATCTCCGATGACTTGCATTTATCCTCTGTTGCAAGCTCAATGGCTGCCTTCATAATCTTCTTGACATTGAAATCCTGAGAAACAAAAATCCACATTCTAGAGTCGAAGTGTTGGGAGACCCTCTCATCATGATATGCCAACTGAGCAAGAGTGGTCTTGCCAATTCCTCCAATACCAGTTATTGGAATACAAGTTGCATATCCATCCTGGGATGTTTCAGAAGATAGTAACAGTTTGACTAACTGCTCTTTCTCATTATCTCTTCCATATATATTTGAGTAGTCGACGCAAGAGACAGACTCCCTCGTGCCAGGTCGTCGATCTCCATATATCTTTGGCTTGCTAAAATTAAATGTCGAGAGTCCCTCATTTATCGTCTTTTCTAATCTGTGGAGTGCCTTTTTAATTTTTTCAGCATCAGAGCCTTTTGTAATTGGAAAACCGAAAACTGCAGTTAAAGAACTCACTGGGTTTTCTAATAATCTTTTCAGAGCCTTTTGTAATTGGATGACGCTTTTGCGAGGGATAAAAAAGTCCAGAAGGTCCTCAGCATCAGAAGCAGCATTCTTGAGGTTTGACAACCAAAGCCTCACATATTTGTTGGTTATTTGTTGCTCCTCTGCTTCTTGAAGAATAGCTTGAGTCCTCATCAAGGCATCTCGTAGGCTGTGGAAGTTGTCCTTGACACCCCATATATCAGCAAGCTTTTCTAGGGCTGGGGATGCCAATCTGTCAAAGATCACTTGCAAAGCAGGGGATAAAACTATGCTTGCTGCTGCTTCCATTTTCTAGCAGCAACAACAGCAAAACAAAACAAGGCTGAGATTATGGGAATAGTTAGCTTTGAGGGACTTTCAAAAGCCAGCTAATACGTGGTTCACACTCAAAGTCAAGGTCTTTCATCCAAGTACGTACTTTTCTTGATTGCTTCATGGTGGAGAATTGGAGATATAGATATTTGTTTCTCTCTTTTCATCTTCTTCTCTTTGCTCAATATTTCCACCCACCAACTTGGTTCACACTCAAAGTCAAGGTATTTCATCCAAGTACGTACTTTTCTTGTTTGCTTCATGGTGGAGAATTGGAGATATAGATATTTGTTTCTCTCTTTTCATCTTTTTCTCTTTGCTCAATATTTCCACCCACCTACTTTTTTCTTTTCTTTTGCTAATACTTTAACGCTACCTTATTTTCATCAAGGAGGCTTAATTATCCTCATACTCCTTAAATTATCCTATGTCTTATTCAAAAAATAAAATAAAGAGATATTTAGTCAAATACCCATTCTTAGCACTAAAACTATAAATAAAGCCTACACCATTTAATTTCTATAAACAAACCCAAAAAGAACCCAAAAAATGACAATTGGCCATATTGAATTTAATTTCGATTATTAAATTACTTTGATGTCCTATTGAGTATTTTGGGCTTTTTTATATGTTTTGGGGTTGAGTTTGTTTTGAGAAATCAATGGTAGTTTTGTAATTTAAAAGAAGTTAAAAGACTTTTTGTTATGTTGTAAATGGGCTTTGGGTGTGTTTCTAAAGTTCATTTCATATAGGGTATTTTTATAATTTGGGCTCCTATATTGGGTTTAATAGTGAATCTCCCAAAAATAAATCCTATGTCTTACTTTGCCCTTTAAAAGTTAATTTGACTCACCTTTCCCCTAAACTTATTAGAATGTTTTAAAAACCCCTCTGTCAACAGTCAACTTAGGCCTCATCATTTGGCCCGCAGGCTCATGGGCTTATGGGAGCCCGCCCGGCCCATTGACGAGCCCTAAGTCAACTAAAGCAACTCTGCATGTATATCTGTATTGGACGGATCCGTTGTCCTCATTTTTCATGTCCTTTGGTGTTTCTCATATAATTTTTTGACAAGTGTCTATACACTTAACCCCCAACATAATACTGTTAATTTCAATAAAATTTAAAAAATAAAAAA